AATCCTGAAATCAGTCTGGGATCCATCGCGCAAGACGAGAGAATGACGAAGGGCCCTCCTTTTCTTAGCCAACCGGCTGCATGGCTGCAGCCTCCTCCTGGCATTGAGCCTGCTCCTCCTCCCAGAAGTCTCATCATCGGCAGCTCCTGGTCCATCAGAAGCTGCTGGAACTCACACTGAGTCTCGTCGTCCAGTTGCCACTTCGAGCAAATACGCGCCTCCTGTGAGCAAATCTTCAGCTCCTCCGAGCAAAGCATCATCTCCTGCAGCAACGTCTGAGTCTGTGAGCCAAGAGGCTTCGGCACCTGGTAGCTTGCCACTCAAGTCCCCTGTGGACAAGTGTGAAGAAGTGCTGGAGGAGGAGGAGGTACTGGAGTATGAAGTGGAATCGGAGGCGGAGGAGTTGCCACCGCCGGATGCAGAGACAGATGACCGAGGTGAGGCTCATGATGCAGTTTTGCATCTTGTCACCAATTAGCAGTGGTGTTGGTGTGTATGAAGTTGTCACTGTCACTTGTGTCAAATAACTACCCATCATACCATCACTCAGTTGGTCAGTCAGTCAGTCAGTCAGTCAGTCTCAAGCTTTTACTTGCTTATCCAAGGATGGACATATTTGAGGAGTATGGGATCTCAGAAAATGTTCAGAGGTTGGCATGGAGCACTCTCCGCGAATTTCCACTGGCCACTGTCAGAGTCAACAGGATCCTGTGCCTTGTCACTGTCACTGGCTGTGAGTTGTATCCTAGACTGACTGACAGAGGTGTTTGTAAACCAATTTGCTAATGGTCAGTGTGCTAATTGAGTGAGAAGTAGTTGTAAGCATGAAAGTCCTTTCACACTTAATCACAGGTGCAAGATCCTGTTTATGATGGATGACAATGATAAGAACGGATGGCTCGAGAAAGCACTTCGCACTTTTGCACAATGATTGTCAGTGACCATCACTCCATTAAATTGCATTGAGACAGTGTTCATTTCAAATTGCACTATTGAATGATCATTTGTATATGTTCTTTGGCAGTTTATTTACTGGTTTAGTTGAACTGTGTCTGTGAGTGTCTTCATTCTGTTAATTCCTTAAATTGTGCCCAGACTCAGCTCAGGCAGGGACATTGAGAAAATGAGAGAAATGAGGAATTCTCAGGGCAAGCAGCACCAATGAATCTCCAGGGTCAGCTGTGTCCCAATAAGTGGGAGTCAGCCATCATGTCAGCTGTAAATTTGAAAGCCCGCCTACACTGGTATGCCACATCGCTGACAAAGCACAGGCTTTCACGTTTGATGCAAGGGCTGCTACTGTCCACTGCATCAGCTGCCATCAGCTGTGCTCTGTGTCGGCCAGGTGACTCACATTTGAATGCACATTGCGGGGTGCCCTGAGGACTGACTGACCGACTTGCAGTCAGTGTATCGAACAGTCGAGCATCGAACAGTAGAGCATTGAACTTGAAGCCATAAATGATGAGCCTTATTAATGTATAATGTAATGCAGCTACTCTAGTCAGCACTACATAAGACAGAGTATTTGAAACAAATACTACAGACCACTCACACACACTGGCCACTGGCAGTACAGACTACCCAGACTCCTCTTGACTCACTGACAGTCATTCACATGACATGGTTTGTCTGTGTTTGTGCTGAGGTTGCGAGCATTTCAAATCCGTCACATTGAGCAGGCCTGACGGGTGTGAGTGGGTATGATGGAGACTCTATATGTCACAAACAGTCAATGACGCAAACAGTCAAGTTGTGTGTGTGATGGACCTAAATTGGAGTCATTTGTCAACGCAGGACCTCAACTGCTTGAACCACTTGAGTCATTTGTGTGGACAGGTTGGATGTCAGCTGTGTGTCTGTCACTCACTTGGGGATGATCGGCGGTTTCAAGGCACAGGTATGTTTGAGATGTTCCAGGTGGCTCTTGAGGGGCTTGGTCAGTTGTTCCAGCCTGAACGATTCAGTCGTGGCAATAGTGTCAGAGTCAGATGTAACAATTGATGATATAATAGGTTTGTTTCTGCTTGCCAACACCAGTGCCCAATCATCTCAGTTTGACTTGGCATGTTGCGGGCCTCTTTTGCAGAGGTCATGAGTGATTGCGCTCTGGGAGCTTTCCTGGCTGTTGGAGGTTGGAGGACAGGAGAGTTAGGAATCATTTCTGGGGTGTTGCGCTTTCAGACATTGTAAAGAGTAGAGTCTTGTGGCTCATGCCATGTCTTCAGCCAAACATGTTGTCACATTGTCAGTTGTGTGTGTGTTGTTAGTAATATTATGTAATATTATAAGTATCAATGGTGGTATGGTGTGGCATTGGGCTCAAACCCTCCTAGTCAGCTGTCCTTGTCAGTCACTGTGTCGAGAGCCGCTGTGGTATGGGGTTGGCATGGTCCTGGACTCAATGCCACGGGTCCAGGATGGGCAATATGGCACCAGGAACTTATGTTGTCAGTTGTATCAACCATGTCAAGTGTCAGATTGTTTGCACCATGACTAATTGAAGTATTAATTAGAATCAATACTCAGAAGTTGCATCGTGATTAACTGCAGGCAGGGGTGGTTGCAGGCAGTGTGTGTCACAGTGTGTGGGTGTGGCACACCCAGGTATATGCAGCCAAGAGCTGATGGACCTGGCTTGGTGGTGTCTTTGGAAGCCACCCGCTTCTCAGCAACATTGTTGCACCTGAAGAAGACCCTCTTGGAGAAGCTGCAAGAGATTATCACCAAGGGGGAGAAGGACGCCAAGTCCCCTGAGGTGGCCGCTGCTTCACTCAACGAGAAGTACATGAATCAGAGTGGCTACAAGCTTGGAGCAAGCTTTACATGGCGCGACGGCCCTTATCAAGGTCAGCTGTCGCATCCAGTGACTTGGCCTGAGGTTGGGTGTGTATTCATCATGTGTGAGAGGAAGTCAAGTTATGAATTTATGAAGCATCTTAAAGCTAAATTAATCGTAATTCCTAAGCAGTCAGTTGTGTAGACTATACCTCTTCTGTTTAGTACTTATTGTGATACATAGTCCTTATACTACTACTAGTATACCAAAAGTGCAACCAACCAAGGACGAGGTACCTCTCTCTGTGGTTGGAGGCGTTGTCAAATGTGCCTGCACATCGATCTACCTGCAGCGTGGAAGGGCTGCTCCGTCGCCATCAGATCAGCGATCTGACATGGGGCTCATTTTCACAGGACCTGGCACAGGCTGATGCCTGTGCCAGGGAGTTCCTTCTTCCACCAACTTGTCAGATGTGAAAAAAGTGTCCGTTTGCTGCAGCAGAGAGATGAATGTGTCACTCATGTCATGTCATTTGTGGAACTTGTGACTCACCGTTACAGACTGTTTACAAAAGTTAGTAAGTGTGTGTAAACTCCATCAAGTAACACTCAAATAACTGTGGAGTAATGTTCAATGCGATGTGATTGAAATGATTGGGCTAGTGTTCTTCAGCAAATGTGAGCTAATTAGGCGATAATGAATTCCACCTTTTGTCCCAGGACACAGCCTTGCCTGACACAGAGGTTGGGGGGGCCTTAGAGCATGGGGGACTGGGCCTGGTGTCAACTGACTGGGTGTGTGAAGACTGGATGACTGCTGTGTCCGCCGTGATCTGTGATCCTTGCCAGCTGATCAATCTAAATTGCGCGTATCAAGCCAAGCTTTTCGAGTTGTACTTTGCCAGTTACTCATGTTGCCGAGGTTG